GTGATTACAGCCACACTGTAGCACTGCTGCCCCAAACAAAGCAAAAATTGAGAATTTCTCTTATTTACTTGCAAGCTCTCTCTTGTTTATTTCTGCTCTATCGTACCTTTTATCTGCACTCGGAGATCTGGAGTATCTTGGATAAGTTTCTTCTCCCTCCTCTGTTCACATCCCAAATCTGGGCTGCATAAAAGCTCTTCATTTATTTTATAACATCTGAAGCCTGCACCATTTTTTTTTTTCCTCTTCCATTAGTATCACTAAAATCATTGTCCTGCCTTTGTCATCTCACACCTGAATTACTGCAGCCTTTTCTTTGGCTCTGTCGTGTTCCAGTTTTAATTCTGTGTTTCATGGTGATGGAAAGTGATCTTTTTTTCCTTTGTGAGCTTTTTTTCCTTTGGTTCTTCCACACTTCTCACCCTCAAAGCGAGTCTTTCTCTGAGGAATTCAGTTCTCTACCGTTAGCCTCTCCGACCTTCAGAAAGTTTGCATCTATTTAAATTTAATTTCTTCCTCTTTGGAAAACAAAACAGTTCTCTCTATTAAACTCAAAATTTGGCAATAAGTCAACTGCATGATCTCATATTTTTCTGTGACTGCTTCACAGAAAATGCTTTAAAAACTGCTAAGAGATTTAATGGAGAAGTGTCTAGTGGTGTAGAACTATCTTGAAAGGTTTGGGGACGGCTGACTTCAGGGAGCTGCCGGTTTGTCTTTTCCATCCTTCATCTCTCCAGTAACATGGTTTCCTTCGTAGGCCACACACACAGCATGAGCTGTGGTCTGCTGGAATTGTCCATTGTGTCTGATATTGCTCTTGGTGTCCTCCTCTTATGGACGAGAAATAAGGCAACTCAAAACCTGGATGTGGGCCAAAGGAATTGCAGTTGCCACCAAAAAAAAAGGGTGAAGACTCTTAATAATTGGGGACTCCTTCCTGAGAGGCACTGAGGGCCTCATTGGCCACCCAGTGAACATCTTCAGAGAGGTTTGCATGTCAGAGATGTTAAGAAGTCTCTACCGCATCTGATAAAGCAAGGTGACTGCCATCTGCTTGTTGGCATTCAAGAAGGGCTATGGGAGGCTGCAGTGGGGAAACAAAGTAGTATTAAAAGGGACTTTGCGTACCTTGGAAAAATGCTAAAGGGATCGGGAGCGCATGTATGTTGTCCTCCTAACTGGTGGCTGGGTTCTGGAAAGGAAGAGGAGGATAGATCAGGTACATTACTGGTTGATGGAGTCAGGATCGAGGTTTTAGGTACTGTGATCACAGGACATTGAGAGACCAGGTGTGTGGGCATCGGATGGAATGCGACTGAGCAGATGGGGCAGAAGTGTTCTGGGAAGCAGGCAGGCTGGATTGATTACTGGAGCTTTAAACTAGATTCAGCAGGGGAAGGGGATGGAGCTTCTTGTGACAGAGAAGGGCCTGGTAATGCTGCCTTTTTAGTAATCTGTGGAGAAAAGCCTCTCAGCTGTCTAATTGGATCTTGTGAGGACTTCTCAGAGAGGAAAACATTGCCAATAACCCGGCTTAAACCTTCTTGCGTTCTCTAGAGATACCTGCACTCTGTGCTTCCGTAAAGCGCTTTATAGCAACGCACGCAGCATGGGAAATAAACAGGAAGAACTCGAGATCTGCATGCAGTCACGGGGCCATGATCTCATTGCAATCACACAGACACGGTGGGACAGCTCACATGACTGGAATGCTGTCATGGATGGCCGTGTCCTCTTTAGGAAAGACAGGCTGGAGAGACGAGGTGGCGAAGTTGCTCTTTATGTGAGAGAGCAACTGGAATGTATTAAGTTTCGCTTGGGGGTGAATCTTGAACAAGAGGAGACCTTGTAGGTAAGACTTAATGGGCAGGCTAATGTAGGACACACTGTTGTGGGTGAGTACTACAAGCCACCTGACCGGGAGGATGAAGTGGATGAGGCTGTCTCAAACAGCTGGAAGCAGCCTTGCTGTCCTTTGCACTGGTTCTCATTGGGGACTTCAATCATTGTGATATTTGTTGGATAAGCAACACAGCCAGGCACACAAGATCCAGGCGGTTCCTGCAGCACATTGATGATATCATTCTGATGCAGATGGTGGAGAAACCAATGAGGAGGATTGTGCTACTTGATCTTGTTCTTACTAACAAGGAAGGGCTGGTCAGGAATGTGATGACTGGGGGAAGCTTAGGATGCAGTGATAACAAGACGGTGAAGGCCAAGATCTTGTGTGCAAAGCAGTAAGTAGAATTGCTGCCCTGAACTTCAGGACAGCCAATTTTCTGAGGAGCTCATGTTTGACCAACCTGGTAGCCTTCTATGATATCATTACCAGCTGGGTAAATGGGGAGAAAAGCAGCGGATGTTGACCTTGACTTCAGTAAGACATTTGGCATCATCCCTCACAATATCTTTGTTATGAAACTTAGAAAATGTGAGATAGATGAGTGGACGGCGAGGTGAACTGAGAACTGGCTGACTGGCGGAGCTCAGAAGGTGGTCATCAGCAGTGCAGAATCTGGTTGGAGGCTGTAACTCTTGGTGTTCACCAGGGGTCAATTCTGGGTCTGATTTTGTTCAACATCTTCATCAACAACCTGGATGAAGGGATAGAGTCTACCCTTAGCAAGTTTGCTGATGATACAAAGCTGGAAGGATTGGCTGGACGCACCTGAAGGCTGTGCTGCCATTCAACAAGGCCTGGACAGACTGGAGAGTTGGGCAGGGAGGAGCCTGATGAGGTTTAACAAGAGCAAATGTAGAGTCTTGCACCAGTGGAGGAATAACCACATGCACCAGTACAGGCTGGGGGATGACCTGCTGGGGAGGAGCTCTACAGAGAAGGATCTGGGTGTTCTGGTTGCCAACAGGTTGACCATGAGCCAGCAGTGTGTCCTTGTGGCCAGGAAGGCCAATGGGATCCTGGGGTGCATTAAAAAGAGCGTGGTCAGTAGGCTGAGGGAGGTGATCCTCCCTCTCTACTCTGTCCTGGTGAGGCCACATCCAGACTACTGCGTCCAGTTCTGGGCTCCCCAGTTGAAAAAAGACAGGGATCTCCTAGAAGAAGTCCAGCAGAGGGTCATAAAGATGGTGAAGGGCCTGGAGCATCTCCGTATGAGGAAAGGCTGAGTAACCTGGGTCTGTTCAGCCTGGGAAAAGAAGACTGAGAGAGGGATCTGCTCAGTGCTTGTAAATATCTAAAGGGAGGTGGAAGGCAAATGGATGAGGCCAGGCTCTTCTCACTGGTGCACAGTGATACGATAAGGAGCAGTGGCCTAAAACTTGAATATAGGGAGTTCCATTCTAACATGCAGAAGAACTGCTTGACAGTAAGGGTTATGGAGCACTGGCACAGGCTGCCCAGAGAGGTGGTGGAGTCTGGTGCTTTGGAGATAGTCAAGACCCATCTGGATGCCAAACTGTGTGACCTATTGTAGGGAAGTTCTTTAGCAAAGGAGTTGGACTTGATGATTTTAAGGTCCCTTCCACTCCCTGAGATTCTGTGAATTGTTGAAATGGCAGCAGCCATCTCTCAGCAGCTCCCTTCCCCCCAGACACTCAGTCTTTCCTTTCCCATGGGTGAGCTGTAAACCCCCAGTGAAAGCTGGTGTCCAGAAGCTGCCAGCTGCTACTTCTGGAGAAGTCTGTGTGGCCTAGTCCTGAGAGTTCCAAAGCTTTTCACAAGCAAAGAAAAAAGCCCTGTAAATAACCTAGCAAGCCTGGTACAGTCTGTATGTGCACAGTGAACTCTGTCTGCAATAGGTGCAGATCTTCCCCAAAGCCATTAGCAAATCCTGTGGTACTGTAGGGGAAGAGCCATGCTGTAGCATCTGGACCATGCTTAACAATGAGAGCAGCCTACGTGTGTTCATCCACAAATCTTGGGTGCTGATATTATGGACAATTGCAGAGCAGAATGAATTATTCAGTGCATTTTACTGCTCAAGTCACTTGTTTTTCTATTCCAGCTCATGCTCACCCATAGTCCGAAGTGAAATATTCTCTCTAGTTCTTCCCACATCCACCTGGATGTAACATGCTCCCTCCCTCTTTCCTAATGGTTAATAGTTTGACTTTTGAAGCACTTTGTGAGTTTATGAGGAAAGACGTCAGCAGTGCAAGCTGAAGAAACTTCTATTAGGTCATTCCTTTTCAGAACATAGTACCTGTCTTCTAAGCTCTTGGCGGACGTTAGCCAAATAATCCTTTTAATAGCTCTTGTGAGTTAAAAGGGTAGGTAACTGTCATAAGGCTAAATGATTGCTCAGATTAATTTACTTGTGGCAAAAAGAAATCAATTGTAATTTAAATTTTTGTCTGTGAAATGATTACGCTACCAGACATCAACTTTCTCCTTAGGAATCTACCTGGAACCTGCATTGAAGTGTGTCTGTGTTAGTACAGATTATGTGGATCTGAATTAGCTACAGATTATGAAGAGTAATGTGAATCAGCACATGCAGTTTTTAATCTGTTTGGTACACACAGAATATTCAGCTGGTTGGCCTTGTTTAGATCTTTAAAGCATTGATTTATAGCAGAAGTCTTCCATGGGGTGCTTGGATGCAAAGGATTATTTCTTAGACTTTAAGACCATGGGTCCTTTGCAAACCATGTCATCGCTCACTTAAGGCATAGAGAAGAAAGAGGGTGAGGCTTTAGCAGTCCACACAATGAAACATAAAAATTGAAAGTGGATAGAAAAAACTGCAGTAGTTTGAGGGAGCATTTTTCTTAACCATGATGACATGTGGTGATTGATACCCTTCCCTTTTAAGAGAGGATGGATAGGTTGCTCAAGAAGAATCCTGGGGCTTGTGGGGGCTTGTGTATTTTTCTTAATGATGTGGTTTGGGGCTACTGCCTGGTAAAACTACCAGAACGTTGCCCTTTATAAGCTGGTTGTGTAATTGTAAGCCAGACAACAAGAAATCAGAATGAATTTACCTTTCATTGAAATGTCTGAAGTTTTTGTATCTTTTAATTGTGTCTTACAGAATGGTGAATAACACTGAAGACCCCCAAGAGGCTTTATAACGTTCCATCCCCATGTAAAGTATGCTCAGAACTTTTCCAGTAGTGTAAGTACAAGCAAAAAACCCCAAACAGTGGCACAACAGCTACAGAAAGATGATATCTTGAGCACTGTATTTTTTCTGTTCTACCTGAAAAATGCAGAGAAATGATTACAATGATAGTCAACAGTTTGCTAACCTGGGGAGTTCCACTGGTTTGGCATTTGCTAGACTGGGAAACAGGAATTTATTTAGACCAGGAAACAGGAATTTATAGTTCTTCTCTTGGCCTGGCCGATAGCGTCTCTGAAAGAGAGAAAAACATGAAGTGCTTCGAAACAGACTCGATCAGAGGAAATGTGCTGTTAAAAGCTGGAGTACTCCATGCATCCCCATGGCATAGCAGAAGGATACCAGAGCTGTAAGTGTTTGGCACCACTACAGACCTGGTGAAAGGAGATGAGTACACCAGAAGAGTAGCATTGTATATCAAAGGCAGAAGACTAGCATAGCTAACATTGGTAGTGAATGTGCAGGTTCAAGCCACAGCTGCTGCTAAATCTTATGTTTGAATTTGAGTCTTTTAGTTTGTTCTTTTAAATGACTTCTGTTACGAATCTTGAATGTAATTGATATCCATTCTGTTTTCCTCAATAAATAAGCAAATTACTTCAAAGCTCGAAGCTTGTCTGGCTGAAAGGAGTGATTGTCCTGTACTGTGCTGTCCTGCATCCCTCTCACAGTTCCAGTCCTGCATTAGTGTTCCTTGTACCTCTTGTAGGCATGACCAAAAGTCCAGTGGCAAACAGATTCTGGAGGTGCTTTGACCTCTAGGCTTCTGACTGTACCTTCTATCTGAGTTACAAAGAGAAATCTTGTCTATTGCAGGTTGGAAGTGTGAAAACAGTCAGATTAATCCAAGATAGATTATTTCTGGGATGAAGATTATTCAGGTAGTGCATGGACACTCATAATGCAAGTGGCAATGCAAGCACAGACTTCTGCGTAGAGGGTGGCAGTAAAGAGTAGCACTGACAAGAGAAGCACTTACATGTTGGAAATTCAACTACCAATATTCTTCAAATAGGCTTCTTGATACGACCATTAAGTAGTTATTTTCCTTTGCTAATGTCTCAGTCTTCCATTCAAAACTAGTGGTTCTTACCCTTTTGACACTCTGAGACGCTTCCTGTTCTTTGTTTTAGCTGCAGATGTGTTGGATATCAGTATTAAATAGTCACTACTTGAAATCTTAAATATCTACTTCACAGCAGGGAAGAAATCTGGAGGTAAGGCCGCACTGCCCTGCGCATCTTTATTATGCCGGTAATGCAGAGTTTGCAGGCTGATCTTACAGTTCTTCTGTGCTTTGTGTGAGCACAAGGACAGTCTGTCAGCCTTAACTTTGAATCAGACTTACAACATAAATTTCCAAGCAGTGAATTATATAGTCTTAATTTCCTGTGCTTCAGCCAGATTTCAGACGTGTCCTGCCTCTGTGCAGTTTTAGTTGGATATCGTATTCTGCTGCTTCTTGGGATCACTGTGGCATGTTGATGTGTGATATTAATCAGCTGCCACCCTTCATCACAAAAACAGTCACTTTTTCCATTGATTCCAGTGTATGTACAGTTAACACAGTCATTGAGAATGCAATAAAAAGTATAGATGAATGATTTTCGCCTGGGTGAAAGCTGGGATGAAACTATTTAGACAGGGTTAGAGAGCTTTAAATCAGGAGAAACAGTCCAAGATGACCCAGTTGGGTGCAGAGTTTCTGGACTGAACCATATATAACTTTTTGAATAGGTAAATGGACATTAGAAAGGGGGAAAAAAAAACACAGTTTAAAAAAAAAAAAGATAAAGCAGTTTGACAGCCCACAACCTGTAATTTATTGTGAATTCATGGACTCGTCTTGTGTGTATGTTTGTGATAACGATTTACAAAATAAACAGCATGCCTGGCCGTACTTCACTGGGCAGGTGAGGAAGGCTATAAAGCCATATCTGAAGTATTCCAGTTTCAGGACAGGGTTTTAAAACAAGCTTGAAAGTAAGATTGGTTTGCATTAATAAATCGCTTAAAGCTGCCATGGTTAAAGAGTAGTGTGGTTATCCCAACCATGGGGCAGCCTGAAGAGCAAAGGAGGCGATTACCATTTATCTGCTTAATTTTTATCTGCAGTTGGATGAGATTGAGTACTTGAGAGGAATTTTTTGCCTTATGTGAGCACGAGGCTTGATTTTGGTGTCACTAGAATTAGTTATTTATCTGAAATGAAGTCCTTCTGTAGCCAATGTGAATATGTCTCCACTGGTTTCTTTATAAATAGAATGGAAGCAATTTCGTGTACTTCACAGGATCACAACAGTACTGATTAATTAATGTGTGAGATAAGACCATTGGTATTTATGTTGCATTTGAAACTCGATGGAACTGGGCAGTTTCAACATTGCCTCTAAAAGTTTACCCGAATTGTCAGGTCTGTGTGTATGGATCTAACTGCCAGCTATGACAGAGCTGGCTGGGAGTAAGTAAAAGCCTGCTGAGTGGAAAAGAAATCAGTGTGAGTAACGCAGATGGAAAAAAAAGACTGAGGTCTTGTTATCATTCATGAAAAACAATGGGAAGAAAGGAACGAGTATGTGAATGGTATCAAAATCAGCACGTTGAAAAACAGCCATTGCATTATGGTGGCTTGGAAAGTCACCATATGGCTAAGCTGCCTTAACTGTCCAGCTTCCCTAGAATGTGATTCAGAACACTTGAATTAAACCCTGGTGAAAGAAGCTTCAGCTAATTTTCTGTCTTTGTCTTCTGACAAGAAGGTGTAGTGTAAATGGCTGGTGGCTATAGAAATGTTCAGTTGACATTCTAACCTTCTAAACATTGTCTGAGCCCTTAGTTTTACTCTAAAACAAACCAGATGAGTTAATCCATGATTTCACAGGTAGTTAACCCAACCTAAAGGGGACTAAAAGCAATGTTGTTCCCTGTGCGCCTCTTACGCCTCTGTTCTTAGCTAAATTGGCTTGGCCCATCCGTTGGGTTGGTGACAGCAATCATCACAGCCTTCTCTAAGCTAACATAGTTTACTAACCCAGGCTAAACAAAGTATCTAAGGATGGGTTGGTTTATTTATTTTCCTGATGTGTTGAACTGAATTCATTTGTGGGGATTTCCAAGAATCTCTACAGGAAGGCAGAAAAGCAGGACCCAGCCCCTACCTCAGTAATGACAGAACCATAAAACACCCTGAGTCGGAAGGGATCCTCCACTCTTGTTGGATGCTCTTAGGTCAGCTCACACTCCCTCAAGCATCTGCACATCAGGACTTGCATCTCGAGGTGTTTTCCTCCTGCTCTGAGTAGCAAAGAAAGAGTTTGCATTTACCCTGAGGACGCAAACTGGGTCTTCTCTGTGTCACACGAGAGGAAATCTCCCTAGATGGAGTCTTGAGAGGTTTGTTACTTTAAGAGCATGAGTAAGATGTGTGTTTCTTTTTGAAATGCTTCTAAATAAAATAAAACTCTAACATGGAAGCGGCTGTAGCCAAAAGCCCACTTTTTTGCTATTATGATTTATATTCTTCAAGGAGCTGCTGTTATCTATTTCGGAGTTGTTCTCCAAATATAACATCTGTCTTCCCCAAGACTGTGTGCCAACAGAACTACAGTAGAACTGCTCCCACAGACTGTTTTCTAACAGGGGTAAAAATAAAAAATAAAATTGCTCTGTTGAACACAAAAATGGGGACAGGTAAAATTTAGTTACTTGGTGATTTTTGGCTTTAGTTTTCTGAACTAACAAACTGCTCTTTTATGAAGGTTGTTACTGTTGGTGAGAGATCCTGAAGAATGTAGGTTTCCTTAGTGCGTACTAAAGAACACCGTTCTCCTTACATGCAGAAAAGAGGTGGTAGAAATCCTGGTGATGACATCCCAGTAAAGCATGTTGTACGGTGCCATGTCTGGTGCCGTACACGAGCCTTGTGGAACGTGAGAAGATGTTCAAATTTTGGCCAAGCAGTTGGTCTGCCTTCTTTCAGAATGCCTCTGGTTTTGAACGAGCCATTCTGCCTTGTTTGAAGGTTAGTTCCTTTCTGTGAGCTATTAGTTTCAAAAGTTAGCTATAATATTACTTTTCTGCCATGCAGTGTTGTGTAGAAAGATGCGTTTCCAACATTTTGATATTCCAGTGAGCTGATGTAGAACTGTTGACTTGAGATTCTGTCTTGATTTTGATATACAGGGGATCCTATAAACAGGAGGGGAGTCAGTTCTTTGAATGGGTAGATAACAGAACAAGGGGAAATGGTTTTAAGTTGAAGGAGGGAAGATTGAGGTTGGATGTCAGGGGGAAGTTCTTTCCTATGAGAGTGGTGAGGTGCTGGAACAGCTGCCCAGAGAGGCTGTGGATGCCCCGTCCATCCCTGGAGGTGTTCAAGGCCAGGTTGGATGGGGCCCTGGGCAGCCTGGGCTGCTATGAAATGAGGAGGTTGGTGGCCCTGCCGCTGGCAGGGGGTTGGAGCTTCATGATCCTTGAGGTCCCTTCCAACCCTGGCCTATGATTCTGTGACTGGTTGAATTCTGAAGGTTTCTAGAGGAAGCAGAAGACAACGTTGTTTCTACCCCTGTAATTTTGGCATCTGGAAAAATGTGATTTGCCAGTTTGTACCTAGGTTAGGCCCATGTCTCCTTTCTTTTTTTCTTGTCACAAGAGCTGTTTCTTCATGTGGGCTGAAGAAAAGATGTCAGTGTGTTGCAGGAACTGGTGGAAGGAATTCACACACAGAAATTCTGCCCTGATTCTGTTACAGAGTTTATGTATATGCAATTTTGTCTTCGGCTCCCAGATTTAAGAGCTCCTCCTCTGCTCTTTTGTCACAGCTTTGGGTCTCAGTTCAGCACTCAACTATCACTCTGGTTTTTCTGTGTCAGTTCTTCTCATTCCTTGTTCTGCCCTTGAATCCAGGCCTCAGAGTTCAAATTCCTGCCTTACTGCTGTAGAATTGCAACAAAAAGTTGGGAGCCCTGATTGTAGAAGTAGGGAACATTAGGGTT